CAGAAATTTCGATAAAAGTCCGATTAAAGTAACGGTCTGCTATGGAAATACCATCGCTCCACTGCAAGAAGAGCTATTGGAAATAATTCAAACCTTACACGATAGCCTGATTGGGGGACATAAGAGAGTAAATCAGACATATAAAAACATTAGAGCTAGATATTATTGGCCTGGTTTACGGAACGACGTACGAAATTATGTTAGGAAATGTCCGAGTTATTTAGAAAAGAAAATCGAGCGGCATAAAACTATGATTTATGTATAGTAAGGCACCTATGATAAGTACGGACACACCGATCGAGGCATTTGATAAAGTATCAATAGATACTCTACACAAACTGCGGACTACCACTAATAGACACTGTCACATTCTAACTATGCAATTTAATTTGACGATGTACCTGATCGTGATCCCGATAAAAGACCTGCAGGCAACTACCATTGTTGATACGTTAGCAAGACATTTAATTTGTTAGTTTGGAGCTACAAGAGCTATACTGTCGGATCGTAGGATCAGTTTTCTTTCGGAAGTTGTTGAATCTTCATTACACCTATGTAAAATACATCATTTAACTACTTCAGGATATAGATTCCAAACTAATGAGTCTCTCGAGAGAAACCATGCACCCCTAATTGATTTTATACGAATATATTCGGAACGATACAATGAATGGGATCGGTTAACATCCTTTGCCGCTTTTTACATATAATACGAGTATCCATAATGTTAGTAGATATACCCCCTTTGAGCTAGTATATGGATGAATTTCACAACCTTATAATATAGCAAAATCAGATCGTCCCCAGGACTATATTATGAAAAAATAGATACCGTAAAGATTAAAAGAGTGGATTGAAAAATATATATCACGATGGACACCAATTTTTGCGAAACACGGTCATATATGACCTACAGTCACTAATTCAAAACTGTACTAAGCTTCTTGAAGAAACGATTTGCAGTGATTTGTTGGGCAAAGACTTACTTAATATAAAAACTATACATTCAAAGGAATTCAAAAGCAAATTCCAGAAAATATCGATAATATTTTAGAAGAAATTTTCAAAATTTCAAAGGTTGATGCACTGCATCGAAATGGAAGAACATACATTATTGTGCATTCACCTCTTGTTGTCATGAATTACTATAATCTGTATAAACTATACTCAGTCTTGGTATCACACTCGCCAATGTCAGCCAGAAAATCTCCATATTTAGCCCTAAGTTCAGACCAGATAAATATATATAAATAGATCATCATTCCTTAGGGGATTGCATAAGGACTCATTATATGATCGGTAAAAGAACCTCTACTTGACGTCAATCTCAATAGAAATTGTGAATTGAGAATGTTGTTACAGCCTTCGAATCATGAAGTATATGACTGTAATATAATTATACAGAATCAATAAATGATCAATTGAAATTATATATTAATGGACGGTTCGTCGATCTTTTCTGCCTCTCAATAAGAGCCGGTTCATACGGCATGCCCAGTGTGAATGGATCAAATGATCTGGCAATACAAACACATGGAAATATTAAAAATTGCAGCCGGTTGCATTGGGTATACTAATGATGTGACTCTACTGACAGAAGCTATTGAAAATAACACAAACATCTATTTATACGAGGGCTAAACATCAACTTCATCACCATATTATTGATCACAGTATTAGTATATAAATGTTATACTCTTCAAATATGGAACACAACGAACGAATCTTCACCCATCTATCCAATTAATTCGGATCGCGATCGATCCGTTAATGAAAGTACTAAGTTCATCTTCCATAGCATCAGATCGAATTAACACTTATCCAAACAGATCCAAAGTGATACTTTACTCGATCAGACCCATATATCCAAGCATCCATTTAGAACGAAATTTAACTCACAAGAAAAACTCTAAGAACCTCGCGGGGTTACAAACCCAAATAGCAGAATCCATTTGAAATTAACTAGCAATCTATCATACTTCTAAAACGTTCTTTATTTACTAATGTAAAGCTACTAACCATATGTTTCCAATGTTTGAATACCAATATGATTGGAGCAATCAATCGTTCAGTCGCACATCTGAAATATATCAAAATACTTAAGCCATAAGTTGCTCAATAAATTCCTGACACAATTGGAAATAGAATCGATAGAAGAACTTCATTTGTTGGAAAATATCACGTAGTAGAAGAGTTATTTTATGTTAATTTGCTCAAAGTTAACATGCAATCGAAGCAAGGAAAATAAAGAACTGGAACATAATACATTCAAAATTATAAAGCTACCGATGCGACAAAAGCTCTAAAAGAATGTGACCCTATTTATGGTGCTAGTTATACTGAGATACGAAAAAGGCCAAAAGAATGAAACAAAGTATCACTGGCGATGTGATGAATGGGTAGACTTCAATATATGAGCAATACGATACTACCTGTATGTGACAACATCAAAAGAAATTTAGGGAAGAAAGAGACAAGAGGCGGTACCCTAAGTCAGAAGTGAAAAAGATAAATAATAGAGGACTTACTAAAATAAACCGATCCGATACGGCAACAAATTTGAATAAATCCATAACTATCATTACGCTGAAAGGAAGTGAACCGATTGATTTAACTTCAGATCTACCACAGACCAAACAGAAATTATGACGAGTTAACCTCGCGGAAGATGATGTTATTATAAACCGAATCGACCCCGAAGATAAAAGATATCTGAAGACCGTTGTATAGATAAATTATAGTTATAATATGGTAGAAAGAATTATTTACATTTGATTTTAGTTAGATTTTAATTAATCAATATAAATACATGTGTTTTCTTTTATAGTAAATATTTAGATTAACCAAATAACCCGAAAGACTTCATAGTTATAATACTCTGCTGTTAGAGATTTTCTCTTGTAATTAATTATTGTGGACCACAAATGTTACCAACATGAATATTCTTAATTGTTGCCACAATTTACTATCTCATGAACTTCCAATTGACACTGCCGGGGACGGCAATGTCTCTAAGTGAAAAAAGGATGTTACATAACGACCAAAATTGTTGTAAATTAGGACTCTTATTTACTTTTATTTAATCTTATTTTCTATTAATGTGTACTATATTAATACATACTATTCAGGACCGAGCATAAAAATGTTTAAAAGTGATTAAAAGTAAATCATTTAGTATCCTGTAGCGAGTATTAAATTACGAAGTGATTATAAATTATAGAAATTGCAGTAAGATAAAGATTGACTATGCTTCGAAAGCATCAATGTCAATCTTCACAGCGATAAAGACGTTGCATTGCGACAATAAATATTCTGAGGCAAGGGTACGTGTTTTGGGTAGGTTGGCTGACTACTCGAAACAAAGAGAGAGAGTGTGTGTAAGTGTGTAAGTGTGTAGCAACAAAAGTGCATCGCGCAAACAGACATGCTTTAACTGTGAATCAGTGCAGTTGTATATTAATTTAAATCTTGCGAAATTATACGAAGTCCGTCCCAAAAGTATCCGACATACATCGATTTCTCGGCAATTGATTTAGTTATCCGGGAGGAGGAGGAGACATCCTTCAAAGTAGACCCTATTTGATTGAATAAGACGCTCATATCGATGTTTCTACTTATTAAAGCAATCTTGAAAGTCAGAATTCAGAATCGTGTTTATTGCAATCGTCGCATTAGTTTCTTAACCGGTATTTTCAATCGAAAAAATAGTCAAAAGTCGCAAGGAGCTATATCGGAACTATCTGGAGGCTGGCGGAGCAGCATAACACTGTTTCAATAAATACTGCTGCACAAGGTTCAATGCGTGCGCTGGAGTATTGTCGCAATGAAGAAGCCAGATACTGGTTTCCCAAAGTTGCGGTCATGATCATAACCAAACTTTCACCGAGAATAAAGCAATATTTTATGCAAATTCTCTGTTCCATTTATTTTGCCATTTTTAGCAATAAACAAATTGTGACGAATGCAAAAAGTCGTAAACAAATACATGTTGCGCGGGAACTAAGGCATTTTATTGGTATCTCGGGCTATGTTACTATCTCTTTACTGACGAGAAGGTGAGTTGCTGGTGACGTTCGTACCCTCTAGACGTCGCCTGAGTCTCTCCGCGCGAAGATATGAACGTAGATCGGGTACTTTTGGAACAGACCTCGTACTATAAATAAAAACTATCTCCACTCAATTTATTTTTAATAACGTTTCACTGGTTTATCTTCTAGCCTCATCAGGTTCTTTATTTAAAAAATAAATCAATCCGTTGTACAAACATGATGACAATCTTACAATAAAAATGGTATCAAATCGAGTAACAAAAAACACATACCAATGCAACTGAAGATTTTTTCAAGATTACATTAACAATTGCTATGAGTCAACAAAAAATTTATTGTAAATTTTGTTAAATAAAATAAATAATATGTGATTTTGGAAGGGAAGACTTCACATTAAAATTTTCATCCATGGATACAACATTGATTACTCTAGATGGAATGCGAACATCAGAAAAATTCTTAAATCATCTTTCTTTATTATTGTAATTGAAGACAATAAATGATTTTTGATTTTTTATTAAGAACGCCAATTTTCTGTTTAAAGTTTTTGATAATTACATTTATAAAAGAAGAACATATACAGATTGTTTATATTTTTATTTGCACTGATTCACAACGAGTATAACAGTAATTTGAAGTTTAGGCATGAAATAGCAAATAATAATAAAATTGCGTTTTTGGATTTATCCATCCCTTTTTTAATATGTACGAGTAGCCGCGTATATAACTTTTCGATTCATCGATTGTATTTTTCCATTACACTATATATGTATATATGATCTGACGATGTATGCAATTCAGATCAGTCATCTTAAGTCATTATGATTGAAAATCCCCCTATGATAACATATACTTTGTTTGCTTACTTTCCTTGTTATCATTATAGTGACATAAATTGTTGTATTATAGGAAAATGATATAATATTTCTTACGCACATTATATTAACATACCTTTCGTGGGTAATATTGCTTTTGTGAAACTGAATAAAGCGTGTCGTTTATTTTTTTCAAAATGTTATCAAAACTATCTTGACCCATGAAATCTATTTCACCCTGTTCCCAATTTTGTTTCCTCATTTGATCTTCGATAGCTATCTGTTGATTCATCAGACAACCAGTTATATTCAACTTAGATAGAGTCCCGGCCAAGCCAGTCTAAAAAATGATTTATAATAATTCTTATTAATGCTTCTATATTACACATTTATACTTAATATACATATGTATTTTTCAAGATTATTAACAAAAATTATTAAAATTGTTATTGATGTAATCCATAAAATACATTTTATTATCCATGTAAAATAGTCTTCTACCTTAATAGAAAAATATATATTTATATTCATGATAATTATTTTTGCTTATGGAAAATATACTTTAGTCGAATTTTAATTATATCAAAACATTAAGCTATTTCGATACAAGCAAATGGATATTATGTAATTTATTATTTTTTGAGTTAATAACGTTAGAGATTCATATGACATCACATACATAAAAATATTCCATGGCTAACGTCAATAGAGTTATCCTAATTATAATATATGCACAGATAATATCAAAACAAAACAATCATAGTGAGACAGAAATATCAAAACAACATATTGATTTAAAAGCATTTTAATTCTATGAAAATATACACATTGATATCAGAAACACAATTTCCAAGTAAAAACGATCTTAATATAATAAACTACGCTGTATATAAAACCAATTACTCGTATAATAAAGTACACGGAGGTATTACGATTATAATCAAAACAAAAATAAAGCACTACATCCGCACTTATACTAGTGAAAACTACTTACCCGCAACCAGTGTAATTATCAAAGATAAAGACGGACCGATAATAATATCAACTGTTTACTGTCGTCCAAATAGAAAAATTACAAAAGAAAACTGGTCTGACTTTTTCAATACACTAGGAAATCGCTTTATAGTATGAGGTGATTATAGTGCAAAATATCTGTGGTGGAGATTAAGATCATTAATGCTACCATACAGAGGCAGAGTACTCTATGAAATTAAAAAAAAATAATCAAATTTTGATATCCATTGGAGAACTAACATACTGGCCTACAGATATAAACAAGCTTCCGGATTTGATTGACTTACATAAACAATAACATAAAAGTAGACTAGAAAAAATATGCTCCTTACATAGAGGAATGCTTAATCAGAAAATCTGGTGGTAACTGGACAAGATCGGAGGAGGAAAAAGCTGAAACGTTTGCAAATTATCTTAGTACAGTATTCAAGACTTGCCAAAGAATAATTACCTAAGAAGAAAAAGAAGAAGAAATCTCACTAAAAGGCTTTGACGTCCAAGACAGTACACCAATCAAATCGATTAAAAGGAAATATCACAAATTGTTAATAATATTGAGACTTGAAAATTTCCCGGTTCTGATAATATCACAGAAAAAGTTGTAACGAAAGCTCATTCGTTAACCATTTTTTTAAGGTGGGCAAGTGAGGCGCACTCACTTATAGCAGTTGAGGCGGAAAGGGGGAGAAGGCAAAGAAATGAAAGTGGTTAGGGGATTATATACTCAAAATACAAATTCACATTTTAACAAATCTAATTAAATCAAATAAAAGTTACATTACACTTAAACTTCGCAGATACCGCACATTAACAAACCGCATAATAATAAACCGCATTATACAAACTCTTAATCTAATAAACACAACGATGTTCTCAATACCTATTACAAAAGAGAACAAGTTAACTAACTAATCGAGCTTACAAACCTATACAAAACACAACGCGCGTCGCCCGACATATGACCGCCTTGATGACGAACCGGCCATTTAGCTAAAAGAGAAAATCGCCCGGCGTGGGATCGCCTGGACGATTTCTATTTGAGCGATTTACTATGCCATCGTCGAAGAGAGAGAGAGAGAGAGAGAAATTAATTTATAAAACTTGACCTTGATACTGGAACGGGAGGCTTGGCTGCGCCCTGCGCTCGGTGTGGCTGGTCGTCGCTGGGCAACTTTTGCCGGCTTGTTCCAGTAGCGTCCCGAGTAGATGCCGGAACCAGGCAGTCGTCCTCTCCTCTCGGTTTTCTTCTCGGCCCTTGGCGGTGTGTGCGTTCGGCCGGCCCTTTGTCCTCAGCTGCATTTTGACTTCGCACTGCTGACCGTCTACCATCGTCTTGCTCCGATCGACTCGGAAAACCTTCTGACTTTGCTCTCGACTTACTACCGTCTGTGTCGCTCGTTTTTCTCGCGATCTACAGCTTCTTCGTCGTTCTTTTTCTCTCCCCACTTAACCTACTTATTAGGCGGCGCGCGACCAATGCGCTAATTGGTTCGAAACGCACGCCTGCCTAATGTTGCGTAGGGCACGCACGCCCCCAACTATTTCCCTCTCTCTCTAACACCTCTATACTGTCGTCAGCGTAACAGCTTCGGGCCTGCTCGGCCCCGCTCGGCAATCTCCGTCAGCTGAAACAGAGACCATGCATTAGACGCATTCTTAAATGCGCCTAACGCTGGTCACCATGCCTTGTCGAGAGAGAAGGGGAATTGGGGAAAATTCCGACGAGAACAAGCGCAACGCTTGCTCTCGTCACAAAGTGATCAAAATGTTACCCCTAATTACAATAAGATACCTAACAATTGTTTTCAATACATGCTTGCGTCTCTGTAACAGCTAAACCCGGTAATGAACCAGAACTGGTAACGTCATATAGATCGACTAGCCTTTTATCAGCACTTTCTAAAATCTTTGAGAAACTAATTCTAGCTTAAATTAACCTAATAATAATAAATAGAAAACTTATCCCTGACCATCAATTCGGTTTCAGGTGTAACCATTCCAAGATTGAGCAAGTACATAGAATAGTATCTGTTGCATGGAAAGCCATCGAAGATAAACCATACCGTACGGGTATATTTCTGGATGTTACCTAGGCTCTTGACAAGGTTTGGCATAAAAGGCTACTGCACAAGCTCAAGCGATTTTTTTTCTCAGGCCTACAATGAATTGTTACATTTTTATCTACTCCATAAACGTACCAGTAAATAAAAGCAGGAGTTCCGCAGGACAGTGTTCTAGGTGCAACACTATATCCGTTATAATAGCTTGAATCTTCCATTTATACCTATTCATATCTTGCCAACAACATATGCAGATGATACAGCAATTTTCACAATACACCTAGAGGCAAAAATACAATAAGAGAGCAACCAAAACATTATAAAACTACATTAAAAATCACCTTCAAAATTGGTTTCACCCCAGGAGAATAATCTTATATTCTTAGACCTAATATTATATTAAAGTAATACCGTGTTTTTCTCCGTAACGACCGTCCGACAGATTTTTAACTCTAGTAACCCATCTTAATTATTTCTTTATTACAATGATGGAGATGTTGCACGATCATGGGTATCAACGTTTTCCTGGTTCGCCGAACTTCCCATGCATGTCCTTGTGTATGGTGTCTCGTCGATCTGGGAGACACCCTAGCATCTGGACATCGTCTTCATGGTCGATCGGAGTTTCTCGTTAGTAACACCATATACCTGGTGCACGTTCTCGTGGATGATGTCTTGTCGATCTGGGGGTGGGAGGTTACCCTGAACCCTGGACATCGTCTTCAAGACATTTTAGAAACATTTTCCCCAGGTTGTTGCACACTAGGTGCTCATCCTGATGGACGGTGTCCTGTCGACCCAGAGGTCACCCTGGCATAGTCTCCTGGATAAGTCATGATTTTTCGACGAAAACGCTATATGCCTAGTGCATATTCTCGGGGAATGTTTATGCATGTTCTCGGTATGTTTTCTAATAGGCGGAATAATAATAGATTTTTCATATTTTAAGTATATTACGAAGTCCTTTTGGAGCTTGCCCGTTTTCTCCAACAAATATTATTGCAACTTCGTTGTTCCTAGCGTTATTATATTTATCTTTATCTAATTTTTCGTGTCTTTGAATTGATATTGTAATATTACTCAATAAAATTGTGAATAAAATGTATTAAAAATTTACACACATTCTTCTATTTTTATCATCACCTTCTGATCCCTACCATAAAACAATTTTAAATGTTCTTTCTATACATTTCATAAGTATCGCTAATCTATATTCGAATTATTATATTTGCAATATGCAATATATTATTATTATTAACATCATTTTCAAGGTTTTCAAATAGTATGACTTGAATATTTCAAGAAATTCATCATTCCAATATTGATAATATTGAATAATATATTTGACATAGATTTTTTTTCTAATAACGATATATAGGTAATTCTTGGCTATTTCGATTGACTTGTAACCCTTAGGTTACGGATTTTTTTTTAATTTGGCACAATTGTTGTACACATAAAACTGAGATTTTTCCCAAATTTTGGAGACGATACATTAATTATATCAAAAGTTATTAACAATTAAAGAAAAATGATAAAAAATTTTTAAACAGCTATATTTTAAAAACTAATAAAGATACCGAATCGGATTTTTCCCAAATTACTTATAATACCTTGAACTTTCGAAATAATTACAACAATAAACAATAAAAATTTTTTTTCGAAAGTTATTAACTTTTTGTTTAAACAATTGCTAATATCTCAAAAGGTATATTTTTTTTGGAAAAATTCTTGCTCCTACGTATTCCTCAGGATTTTTGCTATCGAAATCAATCATAAAATTCAAGGGCCCGACATATCGGAAAGCGTAGCCCTAATCAAAAGAAGATGCCTCAGCTTAAGACCACGAAGACGTCCCGCTGACTCCGAAGACACTTTACAGCACGATACCTCTCGGCTATTTCTTGGGCCTTTATTTGGTCTTAATAGGTTTAGATGTATTAGATTCAAATCTCATATACAAACAATGGTTAAGGAAAATCCCTCATGTAATTAAAACAACACTCTTGAAATTTCAACGTTTCGCCATAAATTCATGGCCTCTTCAGGAAAACTTTATTAAAAAAATTATGAACAATTAAAAACTTTTTTTTAAACAAATCGACATGATCATAACACTACAGTACACATCTAACAATAATAATAAAATCATTCGTACTCACAACTATAGAAAACCTAAGTCATAGTAATGTTAATTAATAAAATATTTTTACTATTCAGAAACAAACCGAAAAGTCAGAGATATAAAATGAACTGTGAATTTCAA